AGAATATTCTATTTATGCATTGTAACGTGTAGGAAAGTTCTAAAAACATGGTCTAATATACAACACAAACATAATGATGGGATTAAGAAAGCATAGACTCAAGATATGATCATAAAAGATTCATTGTCATCACTTTAATAGCACATCTCATTGGGACTATTGGTTGAAGTAAACAGCAGAAGTCAGTAATAAACAAATGGGCAGTATTGCCAGCTCCAAAACCCGCACATACGTTAAAGCCTCCAAAATCATAAAAAACTATTAAAGTAATGAGAATTTAAGAATATGTGCTGGTCTTTGAGCTGTCTCCTGAAATCTAAGTAGAGAACTGGTCACCCCTCAATGAACATCAAGTTACAGGGGATTAAAAATTCAGTTGTACAGGCAGAGTACTTCCTGGCAAGCATTCAAAAATCTCAAAATGGGCCCAGTCTGTTCTTTCTTTCTCATCACTAGGATTGACTTTAAAATAATTTTATTAAAAAATAAATTTTTATACTTTCAATTTGCCTGCTGTTCAGCAAGCCTTAAGAAGGCACCCAACATGTTTTTTCAGGTTTTTCTTCACAGCTATGAGAACCACAGAAGCATATACCCCTGAAGCAGAGTTCTACACTCACTTAGAGCTGAAGCATTCCAAAAAACCAGCAATTACAACAAAGCCACAAAAGATGGTAACATTGCAAGTTTCCAAAATAGATGTGTAAACATGGCAGCTGAGTTTGACACTGGCTTGTTCAAGATGTAGCAGAAGCGTCAGTTCTTAGATTGAAACTATGTCACAGGGTGTCTTGTATGACACAGGCTGTTAAATTTAATCTAGCTATCATTACAGTGAGTCCAGTATAGTGAGTCCAGTAATTTGTGTTGAGTGAAGCACATCTCGAACAACTCAATGGTATTGACTAGAAGTCTTTAGGAGAAACAGAAATCTCTACTTCCTTCCAATAGAATTACAGCTTCTAACTAAAAGTCTTGGTACATCTTTGCTCAAGAATTCAAAGAGCTCTTCATATAATCTAGTCTGCGAAAGCTGAAAATTATTTATTTGTACTAGCTAGAAGCAATGCAGTGTTCAATACTTTGAGAAACTAAGCAGGCAGAACTCTGTAAGACCTACAGACTAAGCAGTAGAGAAGATGTCTTTGTTCATTTTAGTGGAGTTTTGAGCATCGTCTTCCACTTAGAACTACCTTCCTCTCTTTATCCCACTTCTGTGGCCTTTAGACATTCACTGCCTCATTTCCCTGCACTTCCTTAGATTTCTGCTCCATTCTATTTCTGCTTATATAGTCTCCTATCTTTGAATTTTTCCCTTTTCTGTCTCACACTCCTCATATCTTGAATTTTCTCAGTGAAACAAATAGAACGACTAACTGGACTTCCTTTCTGTTTCTTTGTATTACTCACATTCAATCAATTCCTCAGCTTTCCACTGTATGCCAAAAGTCCATCATAAGCCCTGAGAATAGGTTGTCTCTAGTCTCACAGCAAGGTTAAAAATACCAGGATTCATTACCATTAAGGACCAACTCTGATTTGCTTGAGAAAGCCACTAGAACCTGGTGACCACTTTAACTAAAAGCTGCTTGTACCTAAATTCTATTGAAAAAAACCCAAAGAGTAGTGGCCATTAAGGAGAGAGAAATTTATAGTTATAGTGAGATACTGGGAACCAGAAAATAGGAAAAGAAAGAATTCAGAGAAAAGATATTCTAAAAACCTTTACGTTTCTACTGAAGAGGTCGGCATACCTGAATGTAAAACCCAACATAACACGTGGCAGGCTAGAATGCAGTGGTACTTTGGAAATGTTTCCCGGTTTTACAGTTTGCCAAAAGAAAAATGAAAGACCAGCAATTGCTTCCACAATACTGCTTCATGATCGAATGAGATACGCCTTGTCAATCAGACATTAGAAATACACACTAATTAGTGTATCAGTATGAAATGTTTATTTTAATCTGAAATTGCTCAAATGAAGTATGTGGGGAAAAAAAACTAAACTCATTGAAAACACAAGCTAAAGCAATCTAAAAATGAAAACTCCCTACAGAGCAGACGAAAAAAAGCAAGTGACTTAAAAAACTGCTGTGTCAAGTCTTGGCATAGTTGAAAAAGCAAGATAATATATCATGTAGGATTGTAATCACATTGGTATCTGCTGGGTAACAAATCCCCCACTGGATGTGAATGGAGAAATATATCTATATTGCAAAACACAAGTTCAATCTAAAAGGTGGACTATAGTGCTGGAAATGCTACTGGGAATCTGTTTTTCTTGTGGGTTTTTTTGATTTCTGTTTCTTGTTTGGATCAAAGTATGTGGTCAGCTGCGGTCTTTCTGCCACAATATAGTGACAATTCTGGTATACAACTATTATATTAGACATTCTTACACAACAGATTCCATCACTTTCCCACAAAGAAACTATTCCAGAGTCTCATTCAGACAGTTTTCCATTAAAAAAACCTAGAATTTATGGAATCTATCTTTTAGAAGGAACATGAGAAAAATTATCTTCATAAGCACAGAAGTGGACAGATGCTGAAGTTAAACTCTGTCAGGCCTCCTTGCTGACACAAATCAACACACCTCCACTGGAATCACAGGCTTTCAGGTGACTAGTCCATTAACGACTATACAATACAAAAGAGATGACTTAAATGTAACAAATTCTATAAATTAAAGAAGGGTTTCTAGAATTTCAGTTCTATAGCATATGGCTATCTTGCACTAACTTCATTTGAAACTTTAAAATGTGGATAATTCAGCTTAACAAATGTACAGCAGTTCTTTTATTTTTATAAGAGTAACAGTATCAAATAAACCTGCTGTGAAGGAAATTGTAGAAAAACAAGAAAATCATACCAATCACACAGGAACAAGGAAGAAGAGGGGATTTTTGTTTTTCAGTTCATCCATTAAGAGCTCTAATTTTGTCATTAACTAATTCCAGTGCCTGACAAACACTCAATGTGCTTTCTGTTTTCTAATGATTCATTTTTCTCTATTTATTCAAGTGACATAAAATAATGCTTCGATCTCATCCTGCCATCTCCTTTATCAAACACAAGCAGCCAGTAGCATCTCTCTTCTGCAGAAAGTAGAATTCCTTTGATATTTAAGGAGGCGACGAGCAGAAGTTTGTGACTCCTAAACAGTACGTGGATCTATACTGTGACCCACTGGTTGGCACTTGGATTTTAGATTATTATCTTCTTTTGCTCTCAGCTTAGATGAAATCTTTGCATAAGTGATGTGGGTTCAGTAATGCAATAACCACCCCATCACGCAATGGTAAAATATTTTTCTTGCCTTTTTAAGAACCCTGTGGAAAAACACATAACTAAATCCAATGATGAACACTTTTTAAACTTCAAATTGAAGCAAGATTAGGAAATTCTAGCTTCATAATGGCCCAAGCAAAGTTAATTCTACCCATTTGTGTACATGCTATATATTCTTTATCTATAGGATTTTATGTTTCCCCTTTTTCCCCCCGAAGAATGTCCTGTTTGGTGCACTGAATGGGTACACTTGGGATCAAACTAATGCTGCACATAATCTGGAATTTCCTAATTTCTAGGTGCTTGACTTTGCAGGCTCAATAACGCTTTTTCATCTAGATGTCTTAAATATATAATTATTCAGATGGCTTGAATGTACTTTTTGCTTACAAAGTCTTTTTTCTGTTTACATATCATACTCTAGCCTAAATAAATGCTAAGACAAAGGCCAAGTTGGCTGGTAGCCCAGAATGTAGTTGTTACCAAATTGACAGGGACCACCTTAAATTCATTGAAATGTCTAAATATTGTATTTGAGTTATAACTACATTTTAAAAGGCGATCTTTACTGAAAGAAAAACGGAGTGACTTTAGAACAGCATAAACAAGTTGCTGGATGAAATGAGAATTGAATGGATTACGTCTGTCAAAGTATGGTCTGACTTACCACAGCTCTCCATTACTGTGAAACACCAAACACTTAAGGACAGGAAGTATCCTCATGTTACCATGTAAATAACTAATGGGTTTAGTTTATGTTAACAACTAACTTAGAAACTTCCAATAAAAAAAAAACACCGACCTAAAACATGGCTAAGAGTGTCTGAACCTTTTCCCCACAAGTAACTAATTCTCATAATTTTTAAGGTGACTTTTCCTTTTTCCTTAGGGAATCTTACATAGAGCCTGATAAAATGTAAGGTAAATGTGAACACAGTAAAATTTAAAGATGGCCTGCGAAGGCAAATAAAATCAGTACTTTTTCCAATCTACTGACGATCTGAAAGGTACAAGGTTTAGTTTAAAGCTTTCTTCTACTTGTTTCCTTTTTGCTTTTAAAACTTTTGGAGTATCAAAGTCTTGTCTTGCTTTTATACATAAGAGTGTTGGAGGATAAGAAGGCTAGAATGGAAGCCCCCCTCAGTTCCCATCTGAAGCAGTAGGGTGATGAGCAATTAAAGATGAGATTTTTTTTTTTTTCTCCTGGCTTTTTGCCAGAGGTTTGAATTAAACATTTTAAAAACAGCAAAACAAAACGAGAGTTTTACATAGTCTGTTTAAAAATCCCTTTCCCCTCTCAAATGCCAGTTTCTTGTGACAGATGATGGATAGAGATGATGGCTTCATCTCTTTGCTTTTCCAGCTATCTATAAACTTCTAGTGAAAATCGGATAGACAAGACCTGATACATATATAAAATTAAACAAAACCTTTGCAGAAACCTTACATCTGCCTTTAAAAACTAAAGCAAGCTCTTCAGGCTCTCCTAATATGTCTTAAAAATATGTCAAAGGCAACATAGGTTTGTCTCCTTTTCAGGTCACTCTTTAGATCTAATCAGGATGTGACTATGGCAAGATAGCCAAACCCCAGTGACAAGAGCATGCCATATGAAAAGCACAAGATGTGTTGAAATTTAAAATCTACTAATGCTGACATTCTGGCCTTACTAGATATTAATAAAATTACAAGAGTGTGGGGTGAAGGTATTATACCTGGTCATGGCTGGCTTCAATGGAGCTTCCGATACCTTGGAAAGTCATCTGCACAGGAGACAGTGTCAAACAGGTCATACACTCTTTGCCATTTTGTCTATCACTGTAGTGTACCTATAACAGAATAACATACGTAATCTGCTAAACACCAGGTTTGTACAAGGGAGGCATGCTAAAATACTGTCCCTTTTCAACAAGTTTGTAAGAAGAATTCCAACCATTTACATTGAATTCATCTTTAATATAAAACGAGGAGTGTGTAAAATATTCTAGGTAGTCACATACTGAACTGGGGCCAAATTTTCTGATATGTCTGTTGGGCAGTTTTTCAAGTGCTGCACTCTTCAGTTTCTGAGACCTTTGAGACTGAATTCAAGACATTGTATCTATAAAATTATAAGAATCTAGTTTCAAGTGATAGTTTCCAGCCTAGATGTCACTTTTAACAGCATTTCATAGTTTAGTTTTAAAACATTCATGTAAATCACTACATCTCCAAAAACTTGGAAATAATAGTTCCAATTTTTCAACTGTAATGCCATTTCTACTAAAATTCACTAACTTTTTTTTTGTCATGGCTACGTAATGTTGTATATTTGAATTAGATTTTGTAATTAAATCTAAATGACAGATAAAATGGAGAAGAATTCACATTCCTCTTGAGATGTCTAGGCTATCCTTTTCTAAGAATCACTCATTCCCCACTGATGCCAAGATGTTCATGTTGAACCTGAATCTTGCATGAAATACAGAGGAAGATAGTGCTCCTACTTGAATTGTTTTCCTTGTCTTCAGGTTCCCTTCAGATTGTGTTTAAAACCTCTAAAGAAAGGATGGGTTTTAATGTTGAGACAAAATGAAATTAAATGTTGCCATTGTTTCATTATTAAGAACAGGTTGCCACTCATGCTGAATTGTTAAAATATTACAGTTCTCTGTGTAGCTCCTGGCTTCTAGACAGGCAGATCAAGCACTTTGTTCTACAGGAGAGGTGGAATTTAGTTTATGGTGGTAATTTACATTGGCTATGTGACCCCTGTCAGAAATGGAAAGAGAGATCAGCTCTGCTGGAGACAGACCTTTTATGTTAGTATCTATTTATAGCTGTATAACTCTCAGGCAAAAGTTACATGATAAAGCCTCATCTTGACATTTAGGCTACAAAATCAAACTTTATTATTTCTGAAGACAACTAGGAACTACATTAGAGTTATTCCTGTGGAAATGATTTAGTGACATATATGACACTTAATTGTACACGATGCATGCTGAATCCCCTGTGCCTAACTCCTTTTTGCCACAGGTGCAAATTGGGAATACTTCAGCTGAAGCAAAGCCAGCGCAAAAGTGGCTGAGTGAGAGGAAAACCCAGTCAGTGCTATATTTCAGAATTACTTTACTGACAACACATCGAAACAGTTTTGCTGTGGTCAAAAGTGAGATACAGAATGCAAAATTCTTGTACTATGTACAGAAAAATATTGATTTTGCTCAGCCGTTCTTAAAGCTTTCTGGATTATCCCTGTCTCTCTTCCTCTCAACCCCCACAATATGTGCCTACTAAATTGCTCGTGGCTCTCTGCCAGAAAAGCCATACTACTTACTTAGAAACCACAAGAGGCCCCTTCACATATACAATGGTTTAACTTTGATTAATCAAAAGAAGTACGAAGGTATGAAATTTGGCTTGCAAATATAAACTGAAGCTCTTTAAACGTCAGGGACTACTGTTATGACAAGGACTTATCGAGCTTCCACAACTGTGGTATTTGGTTGCAAGCTAGATATTCTGCTACATACGTGTTGTGGGAACGGGATGTGGAGAAATGAGGTAGAGAAGCTCAACAGGATGATTCTGTACTGCAAATATGACACAGCAAAAGGGGCAAAATCTGGTGACTGAGGAAAGTACCTGTCTTAGAGAACAAATGGAGAAACGGAAAAAATGGCATTTTCTGAACTGCACAGCATGTTTTTGTAGGCTTATTTTTAATGAGAATAATATGAGTAAGGTTACACTTCACTAATGTCCACCGGAATAAAGCAAGGTTAACAAGCAGAAAGAACAGGAGATATCCAGAGGAAAAAGTACTATTAGTATTACATGACATCATTATTTGCAATAGCAGATTTTATCCACACCCCTTTTAGAGTCTCATATTGAAATTGCAATAAATTCAGAATTTCAGTATCTTTCTAGGATTAACCTTCCCGAAAGAATTTCATGATGCACTTTTGGCCTCATCTGAATGTATCAAGGCCATAACTTTGTAATTTCTTAGACAACAGTCCCCTAATTCTCACTTGCCTCGTTAAAGCTCTTCAGTTGAACCAAAATAAACGCTTTCTATTTTAATGATATGAATAGTGATATAAAAACCAAAAGACTAGACTTCGAATGAGGGATAGAATAAAACTTTGTCCTTTCATGAAATCTCTCTGGTTCACAGATTTGTGCAGTCAGCAGAAACATTCAGATTTCTTCTACATTTAGCATGCCCATGTGCAATTTCCCAGTAATCCTGTTTTGTTATTTATCAGTCCAGCTGCTACGTTCTCAAACTCTCTATTTTATTCCTTTCATCTTCAAATTTGATCTATGAACCAAAGTTTGGGGTTTTTTGTCAACCAGAAGTATTAAGTATTTATCTATTTGAGCAGAACATCCAACACAGGCACTCAGAAAGACACGGTAGTAGTCATTAGCTACCAAATAGTCTGAATAGCAGCAGATGCTTTTAGGTTTTCCGGCCAGCAGTATTTTGCAAATATTTCAGTTTATATGTTCATTCTATTATGACTAAGTATGGGAGGAACCTAAATGTCTATAAAACTGATTTAAGAATATCATATCATCTAAGGCAGGGGGAACATAAAGGCACAGCAAATACTTGATTCAGTATCTGCAATCAAGGAATGGTGACTGAAGGTTGGCCAAGTGCTCCAACAGTGATTACATGGCCATTATTGAGATTCATGACGACAATAATACTTTTCTAAGTTCCTCAGTGCCTCAAGAGTCAAGAGTGCTTAACTACAGCTCATCCTGGCAATAACTCTGTCAGGCAGGTAAGGACACTTTGTGGACAGACGTTAAATGACTCATCCAAATTCACTCGGCACTGGCAGGAGTGAATGGCAGTGCTGGGACTATAACCCGTCATTAAGGCCTCTGGTCTAACCACAATTGGTCATTTTCTCTTTCTATATATTATGGAGGTAAAAATAAAAGAGTTATGAAAATAATTTCTATCTATGTCCAGACATAATTTTCAGGCTTAAATCTTTTGCTATTAAGGGACACTCACAAATTACCTCCATGCATTTTAAGGATTTAAACAGCAATGAAATTTTAGTCATTAAATTTCAGAATGTTTTATTCAGATAACACATAAGCAGAGATTTTTATAGAACAGCATTAGGATCTGGTTAGGAAATAATGGTCAGCACTCTGATGTCTGTAGTAAGAGTTGTGCAAGTTTCTGAGTAAAATGCAAGACTCCAGCCTCAGACTAATATGAGTGATTTACACGTAATTCTCCTCCAAGGTACGTCTGCACAGCACAAAGCAGTGCCACAACAACGAGATCCTGGCAATAACTCTAAATGAGCCTGCTCATTTATTGGAAAAAGCATACAGCACTGCTAGCTTTTCTCCTGGGTAACTACATACATGGAGTATGTGAGATAAATCATGTATAACCAGCTCAGGAATCCCAAACACAGCACTCTGTTGTGCTGTGTGAGGCAGGACATGAAGCTCCATGTGTAAAACACAATGTGCATCTCGGGCACCAAAATAATGAAATAAATCCTAGAAGTAATTTTTTCCCAAGCTCATGCATGTATGCTTTCATGTTCAATATTCTCAGGAGATGCAACTGTATATCCTTTTCAGAGATTACTTCAGTCAGGAACAAGCTGCACGGTATGAGCATGTATGGAGGGGTACTACTAACTGGTGTATGTATATAGAAATGTATGCGAAGGTCTGAAACCATTTGAAAACTATGTTGAAATTTGGCCCCTGTTTTTAATATTTTAAATTGCTGAAGAGATGCGAATATTTTGATGGACATTTATAGCTTCACATAAAGGAAGATACAAGATGAATGTTTGCAATGTTACAACGGAATATGGAATGGCATAGTCAAAATTCTCAACCTTCTATGTTATTTTATAAAGGAAAAACTAAATTACACCGCATAAAACTGCCTAAGAAATTACATTTAAGGTTACTTTTAGCATAACGCTGCTCCAAAAGCAGGAAATTTCCCATTTCTTTCATATTTATATAAAGATGTCTCTTGAATCTAGCTTTACTATAATACTCTTCCCTATGTGCAAGTGTTCTGATAGAAACTGTAAAGGATTTGTCTTGCCATAAACTACTCTAACCCATAGCTAATTTGCATAAATTATTCTGTAAATACAATGTCCTAACTTGAAGCACGGGAGAGTCTGCTGGTCTTCAGCGAGCACTTCTGCATTTGAACATCCAGTCTTTTGGATGAACAAGGGCTATGGTTTACTGATTCACAACTGAGGAAGGTGAGAGACCTGTTATACTACTACATAATAGTTAAGTTTAACTATAGCATACTAAACTACTGTTAGAACGAGCTAACTGCGCATTAACAGACTGAAGGGAGCAAAAATAAAGGCTACTGTTTTCACACACTGCTGCTTAGGTGTTCACAGTTCGAAACACAACTTCTGTCTAGCCAAACACTTTATTCCTTGAACACTTATTAACTTAAAAAAATAATATGAATTACGAAAAAAAAAAGAAGTCATCTGTGACACTGGAGTTCGTATTTCCAAACCAAAAACTATTCTGAGTCAAAGCATCAGCAGGAGTCTTAGAATGCTAGACAGAAATAAACTAGGTAATAAAATGCCATTATGTTCAGCAACGCACAAATCTTCTGGATTGACAATCCTGAACTATTTTGTTAGAACAAAGGATGGTATTCCTTTAAATCTGTCCCTTAAAGGGAAAGCACTCAATTTAGTCCTGGATTTACTGAGTAACTTCCAAGATTTTACATAGGTTGCTCTGGATTTACAGCGACAAGCAAACCAGGATCGGCTCACAGATCAGATGTTAAAGT